GAGGACGTATTATGTTCATTTTTATTTATGTTAATATACCCAACAGCTTGTTGATAAACGATGTAATTAGGAAAGTCATTTTTAATGAGGGTTTGTTTAATAATTTTTAATGCAGTATAGAAAACCTTTCTTGTTGAAGATTTTGTTTTTGCACGGTTTATTAACTTTCATTTAATAGCTATTTTGTAATAGGACATTGACTTTTATAGTTAAGGGTGCACGTGTTTATATTAGTTGGGTTTTTATAAGGAGTGGCAGTAAATGTATTATTATTATTAATGTCTATCATTATATCAAGAAACGGGATTTTATTGTCGTTGCTAAGTTCATTTGCGAAATTAAGTACGGATTTTTTAAAAGTTTATGTAGATCATGTATTTCGTCTAAGTTTTTGACTTAAATGAGAATGTCATATCTTAGGTATTAAGTACGTTATTTTCTAGGTCAGTCATGTAAAAGTTGGTCTCAGGATGGAACCCATAGAAACACCATCGCATTGTATGCATATGTTGTTTTGAAAAAAAAAATTACATAAGTTACCACCCTTGCATAGTGAAAAAAAAAAAAGAATTTACGGTGTTAACGCATAACACATCCATAGATATGCAATGCCTGAAGATGATCTCAAATGAGATTGAAAGTACTTGTGGAAAATGATAATTATTTCAAAGAAAATTTGGGAATTTTTCTGAATCAGTTTTCTACAGCCACCAAGAAATTAATTCGTGGATTAAAACTAAAATAAATAGACATGATACATCTAAATTATTTAAGCAAACACACACACACACACACACACACACACACACACACACATATATATATATATATATAGTGTATTGGGGCAGAAGATCATTATTCAAACATATATTGTTAAATATAACAGGCAACGTATGTCTATTATGTTTGATCACGAGCCGTTTTAAGCTTCGTATAGTGACTTTAATTTCGGGAGAAAATAAAGACAAAAATTGTCTAACAGCTCATGATCAAACGTAATAATCATTCGTTGTCTGCTATATTTAACAATATTAACAATATATGTTTGAATATATATATATATATATATATATATATATATATATATATATATTGGAAGTGCTATCTGATGATCCAGCGTCCTTTAAAAGGGCTCTGGTGAAATAAAATATTATAATGGAACCGTAAAAATAATATATATATATATATATATATATATATATATATAATAGGGATATGATGTATGAAAAAGTGGAAAAAAAGGCTTTTCATGCGATGCATTACGTCCTTTAGGACGTAATCAGACTGAAATCCTTTACGTTGTGGCGATTACATGTGTATATAAACGAGAGATGCTGGAAATTTTGTATTTTTTTTATTTATTTCTCATATTTTATATGTGTTTTTGTAATAGAATCCCGCTAATTTAATTTATATTGTTTTTGTTTGTAATCCTTTTGTTATTAGCTGATCACCACTGTGATAATAGAAGACCTGCCAGGAATCATACTTCGTTCCTCTAAAATTGGTCTTAATTTCTTTTTCAGCCTTGCATATAACCATTATTAGTTCATTATTTTTATCAGGTGGCTGAAAGAGTTTCGCTGTTTCCAATGTGGTCTTTTTTTTTTCAAAAAGATAAACGCTTGGAATTGTAAATGTTTATAAGCATTTACAATACTATGAAACTTACCTACATCATTACTTTGCGTCGTGGGAAGACGATAAACTACACCCGACAGAAAGGCCTTTGATCAGGAGGTTTTGAGGAGCATGGAGCCATCTCTTAATTGCTGGTGTTCCCAGGTCCACCCTGACCCGGGGTGGTAGCACCTATCAGGGTACCAGCTATGGGCAAATAGTTACCGACACCCCACAAGAAGTGGTCAAAATACCATGATAGTGTAAGAATAGGTTTTAATACTATGTGTGAGAAAATTATTACCAGCAATACATTTTTGAAAAGAAAAATATTACCAGCAATACATTTTTGAAGGAAAAAATATTACCACCAATACATTTTGGGGAACAGAAATATTTCCAAAAATAAGTCTTGTCGGCATTAAATAACATATTGAGGTTGATATGCCGTAAAACAAACCAAACCAGATAACTTTCATATAAATACACCTATATTAGTAATGAATGAAATCAACATGGCTTCTCAAATGTTGCTTTTAAGAATTTGTCTTTTGTCTAAATTTAGAATGAAAGCAGCAGAAATGGACTTTAATTTACCATTCGTATCGCAAGTCATTTGAACAATCCATAAAATGTTTTCATTAATATTTTAACAAATGGCAAGATAGATTTTCTTGATTATTCAAGTAGCTTTTTGAAAACTCCTGTCAAGTAACTGCAAGGATATTTGCCAACCGCCCCTCGCGGTCAGATGTGGCACAAGGCCGAATTTAACGTGGGGTATACGAGCCCGTAGGCTCGGGCAAAAATTCACCGTAGACACCGTAAAAAACGTGGTCAGGTAGTTGTCTACCACCCCCAGACGAGACTCTGCCCTTCGGCATAGCCTCGTCTGGGCTCCTCTCCGCCCGAAGGCAGAGAGTTCGACCAGCTTAGCTGGAGACGAATTTCCAACTAATTGCCAAAGCAAGTCCGTCAAGTAACTGCAAGGAGTTTCTAGTTTTAGCCGTCATATTCTTCTATATGCTATATTCTTTCAGGATGTGAGCGAACATGGCTCTCCATATCTTCCTGTTCTTTATAACATTTAAAAAGCTTTTTTTTCAAAACATTTACACAAACTCATTAGTTATGTTATTCACCTTTTCTTCTTGTTCTTCTTGATTTCCGTATATCCTGTGAGTGTCAGATTTTCCAGGTCTTCTTTTCTCATTGTGTATCTGTTGAAACCTAGGCAAGGTTAATGAATAGAATAATCAAACGAGGGTTGGTAATGAATGATAATACTTAGGACAAGAACAACACATGCGGCGCGTAGAAGTCGTAGTCAACTGATAGAAATGAGTCAAGTAAATTACACAATGAATCTCTAACTGCAGGACATTTGCCAACAGCCCCTTGCGGTCAGATGTGGCACAAGGCCGAATTTAACGTTGGGTATACGTAAGTTCGGCCAAACATTCCCCGTAGAACCCGTATAAAAGGTGGTCGGGTAGCTGTTTCTCGAGACGAGATTTTGCCATTCGACATAGACTTGTCTGGGGATCCTCTCTGTCCGGAGGTAGGGAGTTTGACCAGCACAGCTGGAGGCGAATCTCCAACTCTAGGATATCTACCAACCGCCAAACGCGATCAGATGTGGCACAAGGCCGAATTTAATGTGGGGGTATCCGAGCTCGTAAGCTCAGCCAAAAATTCCCCGTAGACCCCGTATAAACCGTGGTCGGGTAGCTGTTTCCCGAGAAAAGACTCTGCCCTTCGAGATAGCTTCGCCTGGGGATCCTCTCTGCCCGGAGGCAGAGAATTTGACAAGCACAACTGTTTTTTTGTTTTTTTTTTTCTATTTTTTATTAAGACTTTGTCATTTCTCACACATTTCGTACATGATGTTCCTAGTCTCCTTTGGTTGTTTCAAGTCTCTTCTGAATCGCTAAGGAGATTATCCAGCATTCACTGCCATATACGAGGATCAATATTAAATGTGTGCTTAGCACTCTTTTCTGTGTTTCCAACAGAGTTTTCCTGTTTCTTAATACTTTGCTTACCTTTTGGTAAGCAACTTTTGGTATGATAATATTCCTTCGGATTTCGATGTCACACTATTCGTCCCCTGTTAAAACACTTCCCAGATACTTGCTTGATTTCCATATCTTCAATTTGCGATTAAAATCTAAACGTTCAACCATCTTTGGCATTCCCTGTCCTTACATCATTACAACCAACACATACATACCCCACTTCTTATGCTCTCAAGAAAACATTAGTTTATTCAAATAAAGTCGTAAAAACGCGAATCACACACACACACACATATATATATATATATATATATATATATATATATATATATATATATAAACAGGAGAGTCGAATATATATATATATATATATATATATATATATATATATATATATATATATATAAACAGGAGAGTCGAATATATATGTATATATATATATATATATGTTTGAATAAAACAGACCATTTTAAAGTTCCATGTAATAAATTATTTCACCACAGCCCTTTTAAAGGGCTTTTTGGATCATCAGACTTTTACTTCCAAAGGTTGAAATGAAAAATGAAAAGAAATTTACATTTCTTTTTAAAATATATACATACGTATATTTGTGTGCGTATATATATATATATATATATATATATATATATATATATATATATATATATATATATATTGAGTATTTAGGCAGCAATCCCTCATTTATACATGTTTCATTAAAGGCGACTGACAAGGTACCGCGATTAAAATTTTTATTTAATTTTTGTTGTGTTTTCTTTTCTGGACACAAGGTGTAAAAACTGTCCCAATCTTCTGCATTTCCGAGCGTTTTCGACTATACAAGGATGATTTTAGTTTTACTTTTTAACTGAATGTATAGATTGTGTGTATGTATCTAGTTATAGGGATATTTTATTTTTCAAACACGGTCAGCTCATTGTGGCCGTATTCGTAGTTAATGTTAGTGAGTGTTAGCTTTTTTTCTTTTTTATTAGTAGGGATTCCATTATTTTCGATCATTTCTTACACGTGAAAGAGGTTATTATACGTGTATTTTCTACTAGTACATTTCGGATGGAGTCTGGTAAGTTTGTGTGTGTGTATGTGTGTGTTTAATAAGAGTTCTAATGAAGGTATGATAGGATAGGTTTAACGTAAGTCGTCTGGATTGGCATGTAGTAGTGTGACCAATGTAATTATTTGTGAGTTTAGTTTGATCAGAAACACAATTTCTTATGGGTCATTTGATATATATATATATAATGATATCAACTAACTTTATGTAGTCTGAGCTTCTCTTATTGAATCCAACTGAAATCCATCGCTTTTTTATTCACTCTGAAATCTTTTATATTTTTTCAGCATCCGTTCCATCTGAAGACCTCCATCTTTTTCTCTCTTTCCTCTCAATTCTCTCTCTTTCACCTCTCTCTCTCTTTTGTTCCATCATTCTTTTTTTCTCTCTCTCTCTCTTTCATTTTCTACATCTCGTCCAGGTCTTTCTTTCACCTCTCCTGTTTCCTTCATTTTTCTCTCTCTCTATTTTCCTCTTTCACTCTTTTGTTCCATCATTCTTTTTCTCTCTCTCTCTCTTTCATTTTCTACATCTCGTCCAGGTCTTTCTTTCACCTCTCCTGTTTCCTTCATTTTTCTCTCTCTCTATTTTCCTCTTTCACTCTTTTGTTCCATCATTCTTTTTCTCTTTCTCTCTTTCATTTTCTACATCTCTTCCAGGTCTTTCTTTTCAACTCTCCTGTTTCCTTCATTTTTCTCTCTCTCTATTTTCCTCTTTCACTCTTTTGTTCCATCATTCTTTTTCTCTCTTTCTCTCTTTCATTTTCTACATCTCTTCCAGGTCTTTCTTTCAACTCTCCTGTTTCCTTCATTTTTCTCTCTCTCTATTTTCCTCTTTCACTCTTTTGTTCCATCATTCTTTTTCTCTCTCTCTCTCTTTCATTTTCTACATCTCTTCCAGGTCTTTCTTTCAACTCTCCTGTTTCCTTCATTTTTCTCTCTCTATTTTCCTCTTTCCTCTTTTGTTCCATCATTCTTTTTCTCTCTCTCTCTCTTTCATTTTCTACATCTCTTCCAGGTCTTTCTTTCAACTCTCCTGTTTCCTTCATTTTTCTCTCTCTCTATTTTCCTCTTTCACTCTTTTGTTCCATCATTCTTTTTCTCTCTCTCTCTCTTTCATTTTCTACATCTCTTCCAGGTCTTTCTTTCACCTCTCCTGTTTCCTTCATTTTTCTCTCTCTCTATTTTCCTCTTTCACTCTTTTGCTACATCATTCTCTCACTCTCTCTAATTCTTTTCATGTGTCTCTCCTAATCAGTCTTTCTCGCTCTTAATTAATAGGTAAATGCTTAGAAATTGTGCTTATATATATTATATAGCACAGCATTATTAAAATATATATGTAGTCAAAAATAAAATAATATGCCTACTATAGTTAATTGGGAAATTATAATAAAGTACCCCAATAGAACTGTAGACTGTATTTAGAAGAAAAATTATCTCTATTAACTTTTAATAATCAAATTAAATTATTAAATAAGAATAATGAGATAATGGCTTGATGCTGACATATTAACAAATATTTGCTTTGTTACTTTAATAATAATAGAATATAATAAATCAAATAAAATATTAATTAATAATACAAATGCAACATAAAATGTTATAATTTAATTAATAATACAATTAACAAATATTACAATTTAATTAATAATATAACATAACCTCTATATTAACCATAAAAAAATGAAAACTGGAAGAAAAATCTACAGTTGAAAAAATGAAAACAGAAGCAAAAATTTATGAACGTGCGTGAGTGAAAGAACGTTAAATTCATCAATGCGCACGTCTACAAAATGGAGTAAAAACGAATTGAAAAAACTTCACTTAAATAAAAGGATATTTGCCAAGAGATTTCGAAATCGGGAAACCCACTAAAAAATGGATCAGATTTCTTCGGCAATTCTGACACATTTCTTTTCCAAAGAAAGATTTCCGAGTTCGTATCAATAAAAGGATAAGTGGCAGGATATTTGCCATGATGACACGTTCTCATATCAGGAAACCAGTATCAACAGACCGAATACCAACAAACCAATTATAAACCAATTAGGTTTATAATACCCAGAAATTCATATACAGATGTCCTCAAGGACACATGGCACAGTGGATAATGTCGTTGGTTACATCCAGTGACAGAACCCAAAGAGTGTGAGTTCAATACCCTTTCAGAAGGAAAATTAACATATAACTGACATCCATTAAACATGGCACGTGGAACTAGAACAGTCGACCCCAGTGAGTGAAATAAAGGGTTCAGTTCGACATTCCAACTACCTGAAGAAGGCCGGAGCGTACAACGGCCGAAAGGTTGTAATAAATATGGCGACAAGGATGAGGACAATAGTCCGAATAATGGAAATAATGTATTAAACTATACAGTAATTTAGTTTACATAAAAAGAGGAAATCATTTCTTTGAAAGTTATTCAGCATCGCTTGAAAATGAAACTAAACTTTAAATTTTAAGATTTTGGTTTTGTTTTCGAAACATGGTAATTTCTGTGCCACGATAAAAACATATTTTAATAATAATATATATATATATATATATATATATATATATATATATATATATATATATATATATATATATATATATGTATTTTCTGACATAATATGTATTTTGAGTCATGTCTACACCGATTAAACGCCTCTTGATATCTTGTATTATTTAAAACGCTTGGATCATTCTCTCTGTATCGGGCAACAGTGTCCACGTTTTACATTCTCCAATATGGATGTGAAACGTGGACAATGTTGTCAGATACAGGGAGAAGGATCCAAGCGTTTGAGAACAAATGCATGAGAAAATTCCTTGGCATTTACTATTGGGAACAAAAAGTAAATCAGCTTGTGCGGAAAAGTGTTGAAAATTTTGTGGGACACAAGGAACGTCTTCTCGCCACTGTCAAACGGAGATGTCGTGTTTTAGGCATATTACAAGGCACGAGAGCCTGTCCAAGACCACCATGCAAAGGCACCGTTGAAAATGGACGCAGGAGAGGACGCCAACGCAAAAACTGGATGGACCATATCAAACAATAGACAGGTATGACTGTAGCAGAACTGCTGATGGCTCCCGTTGATAGATCGTTGTGGAAAAGAGTTAGTGTGGCTTCTGTGTTCGGATCCGCCCTACGATTACAAAAGTCAAGGGGATGAAAATGATGTGATTAATTATACTCGACTACGACGCGGTCAAATCACGCTGAAACAACGGTTCTCGTTCGATCACCGAAGTTAAGCATCGTAGAGCCAGGTCAGTACTTAGATGGGGGACCGCTTGGGAACACCTGGTACTGTAAGCCCCCAAAGTCCAACCCTTACCTCACAGTCGGTGGGGGGGGGTGTAAACAGTAGTGTCAGAGCTATGCCGTCGGAACTTCGTTCCTGGTAGGGCCCGCAAGGCGGACAGGTCTGACACACACGCCGGCTAACAAGGGCTCTGGTGAAAATCCAAGGAGCGTCTGCATCGGCAACCGGCGGCTTCTGGTCGTTCCTGTCTCTGCGTCTGTGGGAACCCCGCGGAAAGCAAGAACGTTATCCGAGTAGGCCTGGGTACCCTACTTCTGTAATTTATCCCAAGAATCTTCTTCTCACAACAGGAAGAAGCCGGCTCAATCCGCCCATGGTGAATGCCGCATCAAGACAGGAGGACGACGCGGCAGCCATCACACAAACGCACACACACTTAATATATATAATATATATATGTAAAGAAAACATAATTACAAGAGATGTTGGTCGATTGATTGATTTTGTTTAGCAGCATATAAACTTAATGAGGAAATCTAACTAGTTTGAACGTGGTGTTACGGCTTCAGTTACAAATAAAATGTATGTTGTTGGTCATTTTGCTATAAAATGTATTGTTGGTAATTCTCCTTTAAAAAAGGTTTTGTTGGTATTTTTGCTATAAAAATGCATTTTATACTTTTATAGTTTCTTTTTTGTGGGTACACTATTTGCTCATATCTGGAACACTAACAGGTGCTACCCCCCACCACTCGGGTCAAGGTGCACTTGGGAACAATAGCAATCAAGAAGTGTCTTCACGCACCTCAAAACTTCCAATCTCCCAAACGGAGCTATTGCTGGCGGATGTAGTTTCTCGTCAAACCCAGAACTATAAATACAACAGAAAAAGAGAATGTTGATAAACGCGTTCATTCGGCCTTCTATCTATCTATCTATCTATCTATATATCTATCTATCTATCTATCTCAGCCTTTTCATATCTATCTATCTATCTATCTATCTATCTATCTATCTCATAACCTTATCATATCTATCTATCTATCTATCTATCTATCTATCTATCTATCTATCTATTACTGTCTGTTTACTTCTACTAATCTATATCTATTACTATCTATCTCTCTCTCTCTCTCTCTCTCTCTCTCTCTGTCTTTGTTCAAATGTATTTATCTACGATTTATGACTGTATTGTCATTAAATCCAATTAATAGCCACGAAAAAAAATATAAAACGCAAATTAATGTTGATCGAGACACGAGCTCCACATATCGTCATTGAAGTCTCTTTTCGTCTACAAATTTACTTTCCGGGTGCAACGGCCGCTGGCTATTATACAGACATGGCAAATATCCTGCCACTTATCCTTTTATTGACATGAACTCGGAAATCTTTCTTTGGAAAAGAAATGTGTCAGAATTGCCTAAGAAATCTGCTGATATTTCAAAGCATTACTTAAGTACCAAGTCCAGTAATAACAGCGTCAAAATAAATATCTGTGGTGTGAGGTTTAAGATCTGATTTTTTACAGAATAACTTTTTTTTTTAATTAACATATAAAGATCTCGAGGTGTTTTTTTTCTTTCGTTTTATGTGTCGTGTCCTTTCAGGACGTAGGTGATCACGCCCCCCCCCTGTATCCCTTGTAGCTTTCAATAAATTTCGTCTCTCTGCTACCTTCCCCAGATCCTGTTGTTATCCACTTGCTTAAACCCGCCAGGTATGTCATGTGTTGCTTTTCCTTGTCTCTCTTTCCCTCTATTCGACCTGTGCGTATCAGATTCTCCAAGCCCTCCTTTCTCATTATGTGTCCCAGAAACCCCAGCTGCTTATTCCGGGGCGCACAAACATTTAATTAAAGATACGGAATCAGGCACATTGATTAAGATAAGAGGTATAAACAAAAGCGATGAAAAATATAGATGTGATTTGTAATTTCTTGGCTGGATTATTCCGGCTTGCTGAGGGCGATTCAATTCTTTTTTCTACCATGTCAAGAGCAGCGTACAAGACAGGGCGTCTCGGTCTAAAGACTGGATAACATTTGGTTTTAACTTGAGGCTAGCTTTGACCATAGTGCAGCGCTCCAGGTTCTCTTGAAAAATGTCACTGAAATTAGTTTGCATTGTGCGTGTGTGAAATATTTCTTAGTGTTGGAAACAGAGGAAATTGAAAATGTATTAAAAATCGAATTGAGCGGAATAGTGAAGAGATCGAGCTCTACCATCCAACGTAAACCAATTAAATTTTGATCAGAGTCCGTAGTGTAACATGTCGCCAGAAAACGGTGCGATCTGACTCAATGGTCAGCAGAATTTTGTTATCGGGCGCCCTGTGAGCGATTTGTTTTCAACAGCTCAGGCTTGACAATTTATTCCCACGTGAATCGTGACATCAAAGTAATATCCGGAATTCTGTCAAAATCAAGACAGAAACGGTAATATATTTTCTGCGGGATTCGAAGTCAATTTTGAAAGTTGCAAACATAGAATTTGAGTCTAATCATTTCCGATGCAGGTTTTATGCGAATGCTTTCGCGAACTGAATTTGAAACTTATTTTTGAATTTGATTTGAAACTTTGGCTTTCGAGTGGTGACAAAAATTTATATCCGTGTTTGTGACATAATTGATATGTCTCTTGAATGGGCAATAACATGTGTAGTACCATTTACCTCACTACCAACATACAGTAGTAGGAATGTTTCTTGAAGCGTTTGGTGGATTTTCCTTTTAATTTTAAAGCGAAGGGTGATGTTAAACCAACATGGTGTCTTTTTTAAGGTTCATAAATCTCTGACATTCGGCTTTAAGAGCTTTTACTGTGACGTCTTACTTCTTGCTGTTTGGATAATAGCCGTGTGCGCACATTAGCTTCGTGTGGAGATTGAAAACCAGCGATAAAGGTTCAAATTGATCTTCATTGTCTTAAGCTGAAATTTTCTCGTATTCTGCGAAAGTTACGTAGTCGTCTGCGTCGCTTTTCGACAATTTGAATCAACTGTAACGGACGTGAAAGAATGACTGTTGATTTCCGAAAGTTTCCGCCAGTTGTTTATAGTAAAAGTTAAATCCGAAGTCTATTTCGGTAAAATAAAATTAGAGAATCGCTCTTTTTGTATCCAGCCTAAGAAGCAAAAGTCTTGATTTCCATGCGTCGTCTTTGTGTGAAAAATCATGAATGACGTTCTTTGCTTACCCGTTTAAATCTCCGCGTCATAACTGTTGCCATGAAAAGACAGAGAGAAGCCATATCACTTGTGTGAGAAATTGACTCAAGTCGAAAAGCCAAAGTCAGGATCGATTACAAATGGAATCGGTTTTTTCTTTCTTCATTTTCACGAAGAAAAAACAACAAATAAATAACAATGGTTATTTCTTGTGATGCTTCTCAAAGAAAGAACAATTTGAGAAATATTAGGTTCATCTTTGGACAACGCTTACACAGTCCTCTCAGATGCAGATGGCCACACAAAGCGCTGGTATTTTGACTCCAAATGATTTTGTGGACTTTATTCCACACTGCCCTTCAATTCCAACCTATCCTTTTATTCAACCCTGCCCTTTAATTCCTCCTAGCCCGTTTATTCCACTCTACACATTTTTTTTCAGTTTTATCGTTGGACGACACCGTCATTCGGGATTTTTCACACAAAGACGACGGATGGAAATCAAGACTTTTGCTTCTTAGGCTGGATAAAAAAAAGAGCGATTCACTAATTTTATTTTACCGAAATAGACTTCCGATTTAACTTTTACCTATAAACTATTGGCAGAAACTTTCGGAAAACAAGACATTCTTTCACGTCTGTTACAGATGTTTACAATTGTCGAAAAGCGACGCAGACGACTACGTAACTTTCGCAGGATACGAGAAAATTTCAGCTTAAGACACTGATGATCATTTTGAACCTTTCAAAGAAATAACAATTTGAGAAATCTTCGGTTCCTCTTTGGACAACGCTTACACAGCCCTCTCAGATGCAGATGGCCGCACAAAGCGCTGGTAATTCGTCTCGAAATGTTTCCGTGGACGTATTAGAAAGTAACATTCCCGATTCAAAAAACATTACATTTTATTTGTGGGTTGATCGGTGGACAACACTAATTCCAACCTCCCTGTTTGTTCCACCCCACCTTTCAATTCCTACCCATACCCTTTATGATTACGAACTATTAATCCACGTGTAATTTGTCAGAGACATTAACAAAAATTAATCTTCTTTTAATTTGAGGCGGATCTGATTACATTTCAGGCTCGACGTTGCTGGTGTTACAACGTGATACGACAGTAAGTCAAATAAACTCACTCACCCACTAAAACAATACAGTACGTGTCACAGCATTCCCTGATGTCTGCGAATCGATCATTGGGTAATTACAAAAACTACATTTGTAAACTACGTAGTTAATTTTTATCTCTGAATTCTTTTTCTTTCTTTCCTTCTTTTCCTCAAAATAAATATTTATGCAACTGAAGACATTAAAACGAAGTAAATGAAAATTTCATGTAACATGACCGCCAAGTTCCTGCGTAGTATTAATAGTTGTATAAATAATTCAAAACTTGTTAAGGCACTTGCTGGTGCAGTTTGAGAGAATAATTGAGTCGGTGGAAAGGGGCGGAGACAGATGGCTGAGATCTTTTCCTCGATAATATGGTGGTTTGAGCTTTGTTCACAGATTGTATTTTGTAAGTGAGGTGTTGTCTGAAATCTTCCTAAATAAGAAGCTTGTCTTGGAAGTGGAAAAGTTTTATAAGATAATGAATATTTCTCTACCCACAATAATTCTTTTATTTTTTTTCCTTCTTCATTTCCTTTATTCTTTCTTTCTTTATTTATTTCTTTCTTTCTTTCTTTCTTTTTGCAACCCTAGTCTTTTTTCTTTCATTCTGCTTCCTGTTGTATATTTGTTTATTTCGTGATTTCTTTCTTTTTATTTGCTTTTTTTTTTCTTTCTTTCTTTCTTTCTTTCTTTCTTTCTTTCTTTCTTTCTTTCTTTCTTTCTTTTGTCTCACTAAGCTTCCTTCCTTTCTTTTTAAATAATTTGGCCACTTTTTACTTTCTTTCATTTTTTTGCTTTCTTTTCTTTTTTCTTTCAATTTTCTGTTTTTCTTTCTTACTTTTTTGTCTTTATATGTTTTATTCTGTCTTTCTTGAATATATTTTATTCATTCTTACTTTCTTTTTTCTTCCTTCCTTCCTTCCTTCCTTCCTTCCTTGGCATCCTTTTCCTCCTTTCTTTCTTTCATTCTTTCTACTGGTTGTCTGTTTATTCTTTCTTTCTTTCTTTCTACTGGTTGTCTGTTTATTCTTTCTTTCTTTCTTTCTTTCTTTCTTTCTTTCTTTCTTTCTTTCGTATATTTCCTCGCGTCTATATTTGCGAAGATTTATTCCTCATTCTCACTTCGCTGTTTCCTTCTTTCTTTCTTTCTTTCTTTCTTTCTTTCTTTCTTTCTTTCTTTCTTTCTTTCTACTGGTTGTCTGTTTATTCTTTCTTTCCTTCTTTCTTTCTTTCTTTGCATCCTTTTCCACCTTTCTTTCTTTCCTTCTTTCTTTCTTTCTTTCTTTCTTTCTTTCTACTGGTTGTCTGTTTATTCTTTCTTTCTTTCTTTCTTTCTTTCTTTCTTTCTTTCTTTGCATCCTTTTCCTCCTTCCTTTCTCTCTTTCTTTCTTTCTTTCTTTCTGTTGGTTGTCTGTTTATTTTTTCTTTCTTTCTTTCTTTCTTTCTTTCTTTCTTTCTTTCTTTCTTTCTTTGCATCCTTTTCCTCCTTTCTTTCTTTCTTTCTTTCTTTGCATCCTTTTCCTCCTTTCTTTCTTTCTTTCTTTCTTTGCATCCTTTTCCTTCTTTCTTTCTTTCTTTCTTTCTTTCTTTCTTTCTTTCTTTCTTTGCATCCTTTTCCTCCTTTCTTTCTTTCTTTCTTTGCATCCTTTTCCTCCCTTTCTTTCTTTCATTTTTTCTACTCGTTGTCTGTTTATTCTTTCTTTTGTTCTTTCTTTCTTTCTTTTTTTAAAACTTTAGTTGCAATGTCAGGTAATGGTTTAGTATCCTTCATCTTTTTATAGCTTTCCTTTTGTGCTTCATCAATAGGTCATTTATTGTTACGTCTGGAGCCAGACCTTATGATGATTGCATCTGTACTGGTCAGTTTGTGCCATGCGTGATACACGCTTATCCGATCATGCATCTTTCGGTATTTAACGAGGCAGATTTTTTTTCCCGCAGTAGTTTGCCATTTCTTTCTGCGGTAGACCAGTTGCCATCCAAAGCTATAGAACCTAGTCTTGTCTTGTTACTTACCCATAGCTGGTGGGAGAAGAAGAGGAATCATACCCTTCCTAAAAGTATTAGCACGTAAGTGAATGTAATGGATTCGACTGGAATTTGAACTCGGCTCTCCGATTCCACAATCCGAGCCGCTGTATACTGGTAAATGTTCGATTTCCGCAGGTATCTTCACCTTAGTGTGATCAGGAAATGAAAGTAAAAACAAGGGAATGTATAATTATTAAAATGACGTGCCAAAATTATGGGGTTCATTTTGAAATGAAAGGAAAAATGTTTTTTGAGACCAGGACATTTCTTCTGCTTTGATTTCTATTGTTTGATGCTTTCGTGATTTTTCTCATTTTTTTTTTTCGTTTTTAAATAGATTTTTGAAATTTTCTTTGTTAATTGTTTAGTATTCTTCGTTAAATTTTTCTTCCTCTTTTGATTTGCTTGTTTCTTGAATCAATCTTTTCAAATCAGGATTACCGCTCGACAGAAGCATCTTTTCCCGTCTAGTTAAACTTGGAGTTGTCTCAGGTTATATCATTCCTCTATGTTATTTTTAACAAGATTTAGGGACATCAATATGAACTGGAATTTTATTACAGATTTATACTCTAAGGGCTTGGATTTTATATATAGATATCTTATGTGGTTTATGCAAACTAAAATGAGTTATTTTGTTTTCTAGTATGGTCAATTACGTTACAAGAAGCTCCGATCAAAGAGAAGGAAAAGTATACTCAAGCATCTGCCTGAA